CTCCTGATGGTTCCCTTCCCCCCTCTGCCACCAACGCCTTGCAGACACTCATGTGACTCGACACATTTTAATTCCAATTCCGGTTTAGATAAAAGTCTGTCCTCATATTTAACCTTTGTATATTTAACACTAATCTTTCAAATTTGTTTATTACTATTTTACATTTTATTTATACGATGAGTTCTGTTTTGGGTTTGCGCACAATACCAGAAGCTCGTTTGACATCGCTGCGTCCACACAGGTGCTCGCCTGACTACCATAAAAGTCAAGCCAGAAACTGAATAGTCACCTATAAATAAGCGTTGAAGGATATATATGTGTTGTTCAGGTGGTGTTATCCGACTTGTTGGGGACCCGCTATGCAAATAAAGTAACAGTTAAACAATACAAGCAAAGACAAGCGCAGATGCGTAAATATACATATGAATATATATACTTAAAATAAATACAGATACTGCAGTGGTATACATACGCGAGGCGATGCCATTGGCTCATGAGTCATCACGATATCTTGGATGAAATATAACTACAAACTACGGGTAATTGGAACATTATATATATGTGTATATATGTCGATCCTAATAACCGGAACCGCACTACCAGGCCTAGTGAGGAAAGCCCGTTTTGCCAAATATATAAATAAACATAACTGCGTCAGGCCAACATTGGACGTCAGACTGCGAACAGCCGCGTCCAACATTGGTTGACCAGTCCAGCAACGAGGCGGCCTAGTCGAGAACCGGGCCGCGGGGACGCTAAGCCCCGAAATCCTCTCAAGGTAACCTCAAGGTAGCGTGTGAAGGCGGTAGGTCGCGGGATGGCTGCCACACGCCGCCAGAGGGCCGGCCGCCATTGTCTCGACCAAACAGAGCCCCCGAGCAAAAACAGCCGTCGACACAAAAACTGCTCTAATGTGATGATAAACAAATCCATTGTCACACAGGAAATAAACGGCGCCTGTGTCAGCTCACAACGGGTTATTGCCAACCTTCACTCGTGCTTTTGTTTTGTTTTTCATTCATTCCAGTCAGGAACTTCTTGAATCCGGTCGTATCAGTGCTCTAAGCGATCACAATACAAACATTCCGTAAAAACTCTTGTTCATTTGAGCCAAATTTGTTGTTCTAAATAGTTATCGAAGTAATTTGATAAATAGGATTATTGAGTCGAATAAGCTACTTTTATGCTTTTATATATTTTGTTTTCATTCAACTCTATTTTTTGTTATTGAAACCGACGTCTAAGGTCCCTAAGCGACCTTGATACGACCAGGTGTTATATTATTCAGTCCGGTTAAAATGTTAACTTCCATCGTTCAGTTCACCGCGCGACCTTTATATTTGTTTTGTTAATCCTGGGTCAGTATTTATCATATTTTTTGTTTACGCGAGATTGTCCTGAAAGATTATTACCAACACAGAGAACGGAAAGAAGGAAAATGTTTACAAGCTGTCCTCAGGCTAGGCTCGTCCAGGCGCCGGCCGACTACAAAGACACATTCATTGGTCCTTAAGGACTTTATTGAAACTCGCTTATTTCTAAATTAAAGCTAATGTTATTACATAATATTAGCTTTAATTGCAGATGTCAACTTATTATTATAATTTTACATATATTTAGGCGTAGGTTAGGTTAGGTTTTCAGGTTCTGTTGCAACTATTTGTGTTTGCAGTACGTGGGTGAGGCATCCAGCAACCTGTCCTCACACTAGGCTGGTTAAAGCAGCGGCCGTCCTCCCCAGACTTAGTCATCAGTTTTAACACACTGTGTATTAAACATTGGTTTGTTATCATATATATATATATTATTATTATATGTAAAAATTCTATGTATAGTTAGGCGTAGGATAGGTAAAGTGTTTACGTTCTGTTGTCGATTATTTGTATTTGAAGTACGTGGGTGAAGCATTTACAGAATTGTGGTTCGAACAGATGACGTAAGCGAAGCACTTGTTCCGGAAGTGTTCGGATGTCATCAGTTGTGAGTAGTTGGTAACCACTTTTTCTTCATAAACAGCGGCTTTGGTGTCTGGATTAACGAGCTTGGATCTTTGTATGCGAGGACGTAATTAACATTTAAAGACTTGCCATTCGAACACAGGACGTGAGTGAAGCACCGTTCGAGAAAATTTCGAGTGGGATGTTTTGAGTATTGCGAAAAACGCTTTTACGCATTACAATTTTGTAACTAATAGGTGAAATTTTTACCGGATTGGTTGATTCAGCATAATATACGACGTATTAGAGTACGTGTTGTATAAGACAGGACCCAGCAGACTTCAGTGTTTCCCCCCCCCCCCCGTGTTGAAGGCCCCACACCCGCCCACTCTGAACCACTAACATACCTGCAGAGAAGAACCCCCCCTGCCCCCCCTGTCCCCCTCCCATGTTGCCGGATACCCCTTCTGCTCTCGCTCTGCAGGTCCCTCACATCTCAAACACTGCAGACCCTCTCACCCCTAAAAGGCAGGTCTACCACACTGCAGGTTTAGACCAATTGTCTTGTGTATGACCCTCTGTCCTGCGTGGCAGTGAATACCAGCATTATCCTGACTTTAATAAGACTTAATCGAAATCCTCAGATTAGGCAAAAATGTAATTAATTTTGTCAGTAAAGATGTTAATAATAATAACTGCAGGGGGGGCTATTCCCCCCCCCCTTGGTGCAGCAGAAATACTCACTCTTCCCCTCCCTACTTCAGGGCCCTAACGCCCCCTTGCTGCCTCCTCTTACTTCAGGTCCCTAAAGCCCCCTTGCTGCCTCCTCTTACTTCAGGTCCCTAAAGCCCCCTTGCTGCCTCCTCTTACTTCAGGTCCCTAAAGTCCCCTTTGCCCTTCACGCACGTAATGTAGCGGCCTCCAGCGGCCCTCCTGGATATTACGGCCCTTTTTGTTCCCGCCAACCCCGTTACTGTGTTGGGAGCGACGAGGAGAACCAGGGGCCAGATTCACGAAGCAGTTACGCAAGTACTTACGAACCTGTACATCTTTTCCCAACCTTTGGCGGCTTTGTTTACATTTATTAAACAGTTAATGAGCTCCGAAGCCCCAGGAGGCTGTTTATACCAATAACAGCAGTTGATTGGGAAGTTTTCAAGCTGGTAAATTGTTTAATAAATGTAACCAAAGCCGTCAAAGATTGAGAAAAGATGTACACATTCGTAAGTACTTGCCTGACTGCTTCGTGAATCTAGCTCCAGGGAGGGCCAGATTAAGGAGATCCCAGGGTAAGGAGAGAGGGCTGGAATAAAAGAGGGATTATACATTATATATATATATATATATATATATATATATATATATATATATATATATATATATATATATATATATATATATATATATAATGTGTGAGTGTGTGTACATTTAATTTCTGATCAGTTCTTCTTTTTTGGCATTATTGCAGATGTGAAGCTATATTAAGATCTGACCTGACTGTCCATCACTACTGGGGACCTGACTCTCAATCACTGTCGAGGACCTAACTCCATCACAACTGTGGAACTGACTCCATCACTACCGGTGAACTAACTCCATAACTACCAGTGACCTGACTCCTTCAATACTGTGGATCTGACTCCATCACTACTGGTGACATGACTCTTTCACTACCGGTGACCTGACTCCTTGACTAAGAAAACAATAGACCGCCCATAATCTATCACAAAAAAATAATAGATCAACCATACTGTCATTAAGGAAAATAATAGATAGACTATTATCTGTAATTCAGGAAAACAATAGATCGACTATAATCTATCACTAAGGAGAAACAATAGATCGACTATCATCCGTGATTAAGGAAATAACATATCGACAATATTCTATTGCCTTAAAGAAGCAACAGGTAGAAGAATATTATATTCCACCTATCTTCAGTAACAAAACAAGACGCGATTAATCGTCCACTTGAATATAAAATCAGAAAGTTAAAATACACACACAAACAAAGCAGCACAAACACACAACAAACATACAGAAGTCGACTGTATTGGTGGTGCTTCAGAGTGCGCCTGGATCTTCGAAAAGTATAAAAATAATAACAACAGCAGTTGCAAGAACAATAACTAACAGCAGTAACAACAATAATAACAACAAAGGTGGTCACAAAACAACTACAGCAACATGTCTTTTCCACCAGGCAGTTCAGGTGGGTGCCACAGTGCCACTTTTCATACCTAAAAAAAGTCCACTTGCTGGTAAATTCCTGTCCACTAATTTGTTTTATCTTCAGTACCTTTGTAGGTAAAATGCCTCCAACACTTCCCCCCCTCCACCTCCACTACCTCCAACACCCCCCCCAATACCTCTAACACCTCCTAACACCACCTCCAACACCCGTTAACACCATCACCTGGACCCATCACATATATTTGTATTGTGATAAATGTTGGTCCGCGATACCTCTTCTTGGTTGCCCTCTTGCGATCAAGACATATTCAGTCATTATTATTACTAATATCTTGATTAACATCATTGTTATCAGCGCTTTCATATTATCATTGTATACAGCATTTACGACCTTTGTAGTTGCCGCTAATATTGTTCTTGTCGTTATTATTCATAGGCTACAAAAATCCCTCTTTTTGGGGGGGGGTGGGGTGGGGGGGGAGCAAGAGAGCGCTCCTGTGAGTAGCCTCTGGTAGCCTCATAATTATATTCTGTAGTATTTTATTAGGAAGTCTTTGATTATCATAATCTAAATAACCAGTAATAATGGCTGGTAATGCCAGAATAATCCTCAGAAATATTTGATAATCGATAAAAAATTCATCAGTAGTGTTCTCAAGCATTAAACATTTTTTTTTTCAATGCCGCTTATAATAATCAGTAAATTATTATCTGAAACTATTATATAATTCTTGAATAATCAATGAGAATGTGTCACCGTCCGTAAAAGTCCTTATAACACGCTCTAATAATCCTTGAAAATAAATAATCATTGCAAAGTAATGTGATGTTGGAGATGACTGACTAAAGGTGTGTGTGTTCCTCCCGCAGGCTACATCCCGCTCTTCAAGGTACCGTGTGACAGGTTCCTAGGGGAGACCATCTCTTGGATCATCACTCTCGCTATCACGCCCATCTCCTGCTCCATCGTGCCCTGGTTCTGCTGTCCCTTCCAGGTAGGCTGCTAGATATCTTTCTCTCGCTCTCTCTCTCTCTCTCTCTCTCTCTCTCTCTCTCTCTCTCTCTCTCTCTCTCTCTCTCTCTCTCTCTCTCTCTCTCTCTCTCTCTCTCTCTCTCTCTCTCTCTCTCTCTCTCTCTCTCTCTCTCTCTCTCTCTCTCTCTTTCATTACCTATTTTAAACAAAAGATTTTACCCAAGGGAAGCATGTGAAATAATTCAGGATAAATGAATTATGTTTTTAGACAATAAATTACACAATACTCAGCTGGCTATCACCAGCTATGTTGGTCTTTCCTGGCTCTAAACTTATTGTTTATATTCATGGTTTTGTGTTACATTTTGTGTTTATTTAAAATTTTACTCGTATCCCACATTTAATTCCCTCTCATCCATTTACATATATGAATGATGTCGCTCTTAACTCTTCGTCTGTCTAGATAATGTGAATTAAGCCTTTTTTAGTACGTTTTTAAGGAAGGTTCTTATGTTCTTAAAACTTTATATTCAAGAAATACCTGGGTAGATATTGAGTTTAGAATTGGCTTGTTGATTTATTAAACAAATTATCGGGTAATTAACTCAATATTTTTCAAGCGTTAGATTGATATAGGTTAGATATATATGAATGAGTTTGGGTGGATGTAAATAAGGAGCTGCATCGTATGTGGGACAGTAGGACATCTACTGTTTTATTTATTCCACTGTTCATATAATATATCTTCCGTCTTAAAAAAAAATGGGCACCACATTAGCAACCCTCCATGATACAAGTACTTTGATCGACTCCAGTGAGTCGATCAAAAAAACTTTTTTATCGACTTTAAATTTTGTATAAAAATCTTCTACTGTTTGTGTAGAACACTTTTGTTTATGCCAGCGTGGGGCTCTAATCTTTTTACCCAAACTTTGTTCATTAATTTTACTGGAATGTAATTTGGTTGTTATACTGTAATTTTTATGGCAATTGTTATCCCTTTTTTTAAGTTATCTTTCTTTTACTGTTAGTTACACCCATATCAACCATATCAAATGTTCAAAGTTTTAAAAAAAAAAATTCCAGTAAAGAGTCGGCAACAGGTCTTGAAAGATGACCCGCCTATTTTACAGGCGGACTTGTAATAATGCAATAATCTTCCCAATATAATAGTGCCAGTTATCACTGCTAACCCGCAACCTCGGCAGAGCATCGCACATGGCCGAGAGCCCTTCGTTATTTCTAATCACCGCTCGTGCTAAACTTTATATTGGTCCAACAACTCCTCACAAGTACCTCGGTTAATGTCGTTTCCACAAACTGAGAGGCACACGATGGCCGAGCTTGATCCCACCGTATGACAATATATTGCTCAATCTATCTACTATGTCTCCAAACCGTGCTTCCTGAAAACACACTAACTGCATCCCTGGGACAGAAGACTGTCCACATAGTAGTAGTAGTAGTAGGCATCCATCAGTCTCAGGAGACTATGGTGTTGTGCTCTGGAGTGGCCTCACTAGGGCTCAAAGCCAGGGTAGATTGATATGGAGGAGAAGCTGTTACCCAGGCAGCACACTTGCTAATCTATAACAACTAACATTCTTCTACGTTCTTGTGATGAGCAGTTTTCCTGCTCAAAAGGTTCCTACTTAAGCTCTCTTTTGAGTTCCCTCTCAAGTTTTCCTCTCGGTTTCCGCTCAGATTCTTCTATAAAACAGAGAAGAGGTTCGTCGTTTCAACCACTGCTTTTGTTATTGTAGGGTTTCCGACCTTTCTGTGGTCTAAACGCCCTCAGTTTTCGACCACTTTCCACCCATCATCATGCACATTATTCTGCTGTTCATTCTTGCATGACTATACAGTGCCTTAGTCTGTCAATCCGTGACCTGAGTGGCAGGCAGAGCTCGTGCATGCGAGATCATGATCTGTGCTGTGTTGATCCCAATAAAACTCACTAGCAGCAGACATTGAGACACCACTGCCTTTGACAAGTGAACGTATCACCCCAGCGGGCAGAACAGGCTCAAATGTCGTTGACTCGACGCTATCTAGTTCGTTCAACGCCAACACTAGCATCACCACCACTCCCTCTCTCTCCCTCAGGTCGCCAACACCAGCATCACCATCACCGCCGACCTCAGCTGTAACGATCCTGGTGCCGTCTACGGCGCTGTAGCCTTCTGGACCATGCAGGCCACGTCCGTGGTGGGCCTGGTGCTGGCCCTGGCCAGCCTGGCCAACTGCGCCGCTGCCACCATAGGCATGAATGTATCACAGGTAAGCATCAGCATACACTCACACAAACACACACCCATGCACACACACACGTACACACATACAAATACACATACACAAGAAGCTTGCCTTCATAGCCGGTATAGCTTCTTTTTTCTAACATACACATGCGCCTTTTTGCAGTCGACCTCGCTACAGTCCTTCATGGTTCCCTTGAACGTGGAGTTGCCTAATCTGGGGGTGAAGCTCTCAGACTTCGAGTCGTGGCTGCAGAAGGACGAGGATGCCAACCTGCAGTTGGTCAAGAAGAAGGTGATTGACGTCCTGAAGGAGAAGTACCGTCTGGAGCTCCTCAAGGAGAGGTTTAAGGCCAAGACTGAAGAGGAGGAGGGGGAGGAGTGGGCTGAGTCGACGACGACGACGACGGTGGAGGAGGCCACGGAGCAAGGAGAAGTGGGGCTGCTGGAGGAGGTGTTGGCTGAGAACGGGACAGTGGACACAGAGGCCCATTCTAGGGTCAAGAGACAGGTCATCAATGTCCGCATACCAACCTTACTCGGCCATGTTCCAGGTGAGTGTGACAGTCACTGCTTGTAACCCTGCCGCCGTGCGCATGCACACGCACTGGCGCACGCCAGGGCTCACCCACATGCACTGGCGCACGCCAGGGCTCACCCACATGCACGGGCGCACGCCAGGACTCACCCACATGCACGGACGCACGCCAGGGCATACCCACATGCACGGGCGCTCGCGAGAACACGCGATGCAAAAACACACACACACACACATACTGGTAGAGAAGCAAAGCAACTCTATGCATCAAGGAAAACGCCTTTGAAGGAGACACCACACTGAGCTAGCCTCGAGACTCGCCCGTAAACTAGACAACATCAGCGGTGTCTGCAGCCAAATAAAAGGACTGCCTTCAGGGACTTAAACAGGGAGTCATTTACAATGCATTAGACCAATACCTGGAAACACAGTGTTAGTGCAAATTTATCGCCTAACTTTGCACTCAAAGGCACTCTCAGTAAGTCTAGGGGCTAGTGGCAGCTTGGTCAGGGCCGGACCTGGACTAGGAGGCAAGGGAGGGACCAGGACCAGGGGACATGGGAGAGACCAGGGGACATGGGAGGGACCAGGACCAGGGGGACAAACCTCCCCCCCCCTCAGGGAACACAGAGTGTGCAGTGTCCTAAACCCCTTATCAAGCCTCCTGGAGACTATCTGGGTGTTGGCCAGGCTGACAGACGTGACGCAACGTGTGTCGTGTGCGCTACTGAGGTGAGACGTGGCGGCCTGGCCTCCGTCCTGCCCTTTTTCCTTCAGTTGACTCAGCAAGGCGGGTCCACGCCCCCCTGTGTAGCACATACTAATGATATACTCTGAATGCTTGCGTCATACACACTCACCATACTTAGTATACACTGAAACAACAGTAGGGTATATTAGCAGTATATTCTCACGTTATACTCGGGGAATATTCGTATAATTTACATAGACTGCATTAATGAGAGGTCATTTTACACTTACGTTATTTTTTCACTCAAGAAACACACTCGAGCCGCACTAGGAACACACTCGGGTCACACTCGAGACACACTGAGGCAACACTAGAGGTCACACTCGTCATAATACTTGTCTTACCCAGGTGGGGACGACCAGGTGGTGGACGCGTGTGAGAGGAACGAGGTCCTGGTCGATGAGGACGGCGAGTGTCACGACCTGCTCACCCAGGGCCCCTGCGACGACAACCACATCGTCCTCATGAACCCCGCCACCAGGAAGGTAGGAAAGAGAGAGAGAGAGAGAGAGAGAGAGAGAGAGAGAGAGAGAGAGAGAGAGAGAGAGAGAGAGAGAGGTTTACGGTCTCTTCAACAGTTTGCTTTACATTTATAATAACTTTTGTCATTGAGGTTAAAGAAGTACCTGGCATCTCCAAAACTGCTGTTACTTCTCGCAAAATTATATTCTCCCAGAATTCCCTTAGTATTCTCCAAGTATTTCCCCAGTACTGCCTGTGTGGTAGGATGTGAGGTGAGGTAATGCCCAGTCAGTATGGGTCTGGGGGGAAGTGGGTATGGCGTGAGCTGTTTTGTCTCGGTTTTGAGGATTGTTATATGTACTTTAAGAAAGTGTTTCATATGTATTGCTTTGGCAGTGTCCAGTCATTTAATGTCGTCGCATCTTTCAGTTACTTTAATGTTTGATGTAAGGATATATCTGGTGATGATTTAGTTGTGTGTAGAAATGATGTGATATTTGACAGAGTCTTGTTGTTTGTGCACAGTTGGGTGCCTTGAAAGAGATGGTGTGGCCCTTCACATATACTCTTTGAGATCTTTGGGGGTTGACAGTCCAACTTTCGACCTTCCATTATCTACATTGGGGGTTTCCCCTTCCAAGCAGTGAGGGATTAGGAAAGCTTTTGGAAATGTCTTGCCTCTTATCCTAGTTTTCCTTGTTTCCACCAAAATCCAAGGTGCCCTCAACCGTCTCAGCTCATCTCAAGGAGAACCAGACGCCCTCTTGGTGACCTCAGACCTCTGGCACCGGCCACTTTTTCACATTCTTCCTTTGTAACTTTTGTTTTACATTATTTTTACACCCATCTATTCTATATCCACAGATTACGTAATAATCAGGGAACATTATTTAACGTGTTGAAAAGGTCGGGAATAAGAAACTTATTTACTCTGAGGAAATATATAAGTCTAGGCTGACTCAATCGTCATAGAAACTGATGGTTTTCAATGGATGTCTTAATGGGTGACTAATCTGCTTCTTCTTCTTCTTGCGCCGCTCTGCAGGGCTTCTGCGCCCCCCAGCTCTGTCCTCCGGACCGTGTCTTCCTCTTCAGCGACCAGCTCTGTCACGACCCTCGCGAATACGGCTTGTGTCCTCGTGAGTATTGCTTATGTTCGCGTAAGTACTATTTGTGTCCGCGTGAGTACTGTTTGTGTCCGCATGAGTATTGTTTGTGTCCTCGTGAGTAATACTCACCACCCCATCTTCTTCCCAGCGGGTCGCCAGCTCTTCAGCACCGGCTACGGGACCCCGGTGTGTGGCTGCCCCGACGGCACCTACGAGGAGGATGACGACCTTGATGACGATGTCTGTGAGCCCATCCTCGGTCACATCTCTGACTGCCCCGCAGGACAGGTGAGAGGTCATTTACTGGACCCCAGGACTGGTGAGAGGTCATTTACTGGACCCCAGGGCAGGTTAGAGATCATTTACTGGACCCCAGGGCAGGTGAGAGGTAATTTTCTGACCCCCAGGGCAAGTAAAAGGGCATTTACTGACCCCAGGACAGGTGAGGTGTCATTCAGTTCCGTATTCAATACTGGTTACTTATTCAGTCAGCCCGTTCTCCTGATTTGTCACAACGTACAAAATGCAACGTTCTAACCTTACCAGTAACGTTAGAACCCAAGCAACCCACCTAACCTAACCTGCCCATGCTTAGAAAACGTGGATATTTGTGAGCGGTTACTTTAATTCTACTTTGGAATTTGTACGTTGGAGACCATAACGTACGAAATGAGACGTATTAGTTGAGAGGTTGGGTTGGAAGAGCAAGACAGGGGCCAGGATTCTTCAAGCTTGTAGTTACGAACCTGTTTCAGTCCTTGGCGGCTCTGTTTACGTGTAGTTCTTCGTGGTAGTGTAGTAAACAGTTTACACAAATTTTCCAAAAACAGTTTACATTTGTTACAAAAACAGTTTACGAACATGGAAACTTCGTAATTAAATGTTAATATCGCTATAAGCTGCCTCCTGGCGCTTTGGAGCTCATGGGCTGTTTAAACAATGTAAACAAAGCCGCCAAAGATTGATTGATTGTAGATGCTTTGCTCCCGTTTTAGAACGTTCCTTTATTTAACCAACTGGGATCTTCTATGTAACAAACTACGTTCACATGTCTGAAATGTTATGTCCACCCACTTTATAACCGAACTGTTCAGCTCTCCTCCCTTCCCCATGCTTCCTTCCCTTCAGCCTTCCTTCCCTTCAGCCTTCCTTCCCTTCAGCCTTCCTTCCCTTCAGCCTTCCTTCATTTCCCCCTCCGTCATCCACCTTTTTCCCTCTGCTTGACCAGAGGTGAGAGCTGGCCGTTCAGGGCAAATGGCCACCTCCCTGCTAAGCCGTGCGAGTTCTTCCTCAGGTCTTCTGGTTCAGCGACTTCCGTCGCCCCCCGGAGTGCCGCCCTGACCCCTGCAAGGGACTCAACCTGAAGCGGGGCCCCGAGGACCTGCCTTACGTCCCCGCCCTGGTTGATAACAAGTGCTACAAGGTTGGCACGGTGAGTAGTGTCTCTCTTTCCTGTCTCCCTTCTACGCCCGATTTGTACCTTCCTTCTAGAAGCGACTTTTCCTTCCCTTCCAAAGGCGACTAGTTATTAAGATCAACAAGTATACTATAACAGTAAACATACTTGAGGACCAAAGTAAAGTCTTGAGTACATACTCAGTGAGAAGCACACGCGCCTCTCTCTCTATGTCCCTTGTCCAACCCGTTCTCACAAATTCGTATAGTCAATATTGACTTATTAACTACGTGCATAGGTGATATACTATACATAATAGATACACTTAAAAAGCTTCATAGAAAACACCGACCTTACCTAACCTTGTTAGTATCTTAAGATAAGCATCTTATTGCTTCGTAATTACAATTATTACTTAACCTATACCTATAATAGGTTAAGTAACAATTGTAATTACGAAGCTATAAGATGCTTATCTTAAGATACTAACAAGGTTAGGTAAGGTCGGTGTTTTCTATGAAGCTTTTTAAAGGTATCTATTATGTTTAGTATGTCACCTATGCACTTATTTAATAAGTCAATATTGACTTTAAGAATTTGCGAGAACGGGTTGCCCTTGTCATACAACTCAAGTTTTCTTGTCTGCTAATTATAGTTTGCCACATTCCAGTTAGCACTATAAAAATTATGATCCATATCTTGAATTAAAATGTATATATAATTTTATTATGATGATTAATGAAACATCTATTTCAATAGCGTTAAGTACAGAAAACTAATAAATATAGTCCTTAAGTTATTTTTGAAGCATATCTCAAAATTATGTTATTTTTAATATTTATTTATTTATATATTTATTATTAATTATTTAGTTATAACAAAATTGATGTTATACGTCAATTTCTCGTCTGTCGCAACTTAAGGATTAAGAACATCAAAGTTGAATTATGCATAAGGTGTTATGTTTCAGTTCCTAAAGATTTTAAATTGATGCATCTAATCAAGGAGAATGATTTCATGTGCAAGGAAGGCAATAAGAAATATTGGTAGGGAACTTAGAGTAAAAGTTCCTCTAAGTTCCTAGAGGTTCCTCCTTCACATACATAGCAGCTACAGATGCTTAGTGACTGTAGGTGGAGTAATTCCCATATTTAGATTGCATGTTGCACCACATGCAACTGCCATGCAAATAGTAGCAGTAATGTCCATAGTAGTTGGAGAAGTAATTTAATAACTGTCAGATGTTGATAGTAGTAGTAATTGTGGAAGACGTTAGTAAAACTAATTATGATCTCAGTCCATCTTTCCTGTAAATATTTCATGCTGTCTCCTAACATGTTGCCAGTAGTGTAAGTCAAAAGATGCGAAATATAGGAAGAGAGCGATCTTATGACAATGAAGGTGGTCCTAATTGGCATAGGAACTTATGGATCTTAACTCCTATTATCACAACAGGGTGCCAATTATACCACCTTGTGACATAATCTATCATGATACAATTTGTAGTAAAAAATAAGTCTTATTATTTCCTAAGAGATACCCCATATAATGTCTCATGCTTCTGCTTCACCACCCACAGCAACCGCCCATTTGCTCGTCAGACCAATACTACTCTCTCTCGCTGGAGCTCCTTCGGGGCGTCTGTTCCTCGCTGGAAGATGCCGGCTACCTGGTGCTGGACTCCGATGAAATGGACACCATCACCAAGCATTACGGTGACGTTGTTTCCAGGAAAGATAGCGATGCTTCCTCCTCCTCCAAGCCGTCCAAATCCTCCAAGACCAAGATCACCCCAGCGGGGACGACCCTGCTGCGGCGACCAGTGATCGGGGCGCCAGTGGTGTGGACCCAGGACAGCGACGACGACCCGCCGCCGCTGAACGTGGGCCAGGCGGTGGTGTTGAGCAGCAAACTTCACCCAGCGAACAATGAAGTGGAGGACGACGGCCACATGATGACCCTCTACCCCACCCACATGAGTGCCTTCTCTCCGCCCCTCATCACCGTCAACGGCTCCATCACCTTCCTCGGCTTAATGGCGGGGTGAGTTCCCTCTGACTGTCCTCATCTCCCTCCCCCCCCTCTGCCTAATCACCTGGGCTAGACGGTAGAACGACGGTCTCGCTTTATGCAGGTCGGCGTTCAATCTCCGACCGTTCAAGTGGTTGGGGACCATTCCATTCCCCGTCCCATCCCAAATCCTTATCCCTTCCCAGTGCTATATAGTCGTAATGGCTAGGCGTTTTCTCCTGATAATGCCTTCCCCCCCTTTTGTATGCCATATATCTTGTATATTATGTGTGCACCTACCTAAATAGTTTCTCTGGGTTGAGCTTCAGCTCCCGGGTGCCACTTTTCAGTTGTTTGATACGTTAACTTCCGCAACAAACCCCTTTACTTCTCTGATAATTTATATTCCTTCCTCCAGTACTGCAACAGGTACTCACAGGGTACTCTACCAAGCGTACTATACCCCCCTACTAATCTGTTGTTTTAGATTTAGCTACTCAGAATAAAATGCCCATGTAGCACGGGCTATGGTGAGCCCGTAAATCCCTACTAATCACAAGGCTCTTGCCTTGTACTGCCTGGGCAGCCTCCCCCCACCACTAACACGGTGTGGTGGTCCTTGCAGGCCGGCGCCCCGCCACCACCGCCAGCGACGCGCGCCTCTGCCCTTCGCCTCCCCCGGCAGCGTGGTGGAGCCCGGACTCTCCGCCTGTCGCGCCGGAGCCAGGAGAGACGGCAACGCCAAGTGTCGCAACACGTAAGTCTTGTCGTTATAGATTCAGCTACTCGGAACAAGTTCCAAGTAGCACGGGCTATGGTGAGCCCGTACCTTACTTGGCACAGGAGCGGGGCAAGTAGCACGGGCTATGGTGAGCCCGTACCTTACCTGGCACAGGAGCGGGGCAAGTAGCACGGGCTATGGTGAGCCCGTACCTTACCTGGCACAGGAGCGGGGCAAGTAGCACGGGCTATGGTTAGCCCGTACCTTGCCTGGCACAGGAGCGGGGCAAGTAGCACCGGCTATGGTGAGCCCGTACCTTACCTGGCACAGGAGCGGGGCAAGTAGCACGGGCTATGGTGAGCCCGTACCTTACCTGGCACAGGAGCGGGGCAAGTAGCACGGGCTATGGTTAGCTTCGTCTCTGACGTGAGTCTTGTGGGCCACGGAGCCACCATCGGGGACCATTACAAGCTATTTGTGGTCAAGAAGGGTTATGTGGGTCTTTTATGGAACTAAATATTGCTTTGGAGACCTTTTTGGGGATAATAGGGACCATTTGAAGGCTTTGTGGACATTTTATGGGGCATTCTGTGCCATGGGCGATCATTTAGGCTACTAAGAGCTATGTAGCCACGATTTGAGACTATAGAAGGCTATAGGTACCTTGTTTTGCCGCAAATTTATATTGGAACGTATATAGAAAGGCGACGAAGAATTAAAATAGTCATCTTTCTCTGTATACTTTCAAAGGAATTCATATCCTGTCTTATTATTTGGCTGCAAGAACTGTATAGAATAATCCAAATGAGATCTCATAAGCGCTGGGTAAAGTTTAGCGACAATATTTCTGCATTTTTTGGAACAACTCAAAAGCTTATAAAAACTGATGAGTATAATATAGTAATCTTTACTCTCGTGATCAGCCTTAAATATGTTAAAAAATAATGAATAATTCAATCGAAATATGCTCATCATTAACATTATAAAACATTGTTGTAAAAATAGGCTTGAAAAAATTGAGAGTAAAATATATTGAATATGATTATCAGATATATCAAACCCAGCTGTGAATATTGTATTATTTGATTTACTATGTTATGGTGAATATGGATTGTATTTGTTATATCTGAAACTTGCACATAGTTACCATATATATATTAAGGAGGATTTGAACCAGTACACTTGGTACTCCCAAGTGTACACACACACACACACCCTAGACGATTAAGTTGAATCCCAGGCCAGGTGGCAGTGCGCCTGACCATGTCATGGTGTACTGGTCTTGTGTATGAGCTTCCCAGTATCTGGTATACGGGTTCGAATCCTCCTCATGAATCATACTGATTTTCTCATTATTATTATTATTATTATTATTATTATTATTATTATTATTATTATTATTATTATTATTATTATTTTATTTTTATTGTATTTTTTCTTAAAATTATTTTCACTTTTGCATGAGACACTTAATGTAACATCTGTTATGTAAGTATGTAGACATATATTAATTTGGTGGAGTGTGTACAACAGTGGGATGAGCCCTGGTAACATAGGTTCGAATCCTGAATAGGTCAGCTTAGTGAGTTATTATCTTGAGGGACCATTCCAGCATTCTCTCATATATAATATATATACAACGTCATGCATGTATGCATACATTGACAAACACAATTCAGGAGTGTTCGTAATGTGCGATAAAATGCAGCATAATTACACGCTATTTCCTTGGGAATATTTAATAATGAAATGTCTAACGTTGTTGATTCATCTGACGTCTTCAGGATCCTGCCCAGTCGCTTCCCTCCTTCAAGACCCCGTCGAGACGCGCCCCCTGTGGGTCCCACCTCCTCCTGCCCCTCCGTGAGTACTGTTATTCATCCTCCTGCCCCTCCGTGAGTACTGTTCCTCATCCTCCTGCCCCTCTGTGAGTACTGTTCCTCATCCTCCTGCCCCTCCGTGAGTACTGTTCCTCATCCTCCTGCCCCTCTGTGAGTACTGTTCCTCATCCTCCTGCCCCTCTGTGAGTACTGTTCCTCATCCTCCTGCCCCTCCGTGAGTACTGTTATTCATCCTCCTGCCCCTCTGTGAGTACTGTTCCTCATCCTCCTGCCCCTCTGTGAGTACTGTTCCTCATCCTCCTGCCCCTCTGTGAGTACTCCGTGAGTACTGTTATTCATCCTCCTGCCCCTCCGTGAGTACTGTTATTCATCCTCCTGCCCCTCCGTGAGTACTGTTATTCATCCTCCTGCCCCTCTGTGAGTACTGTTCCTCATCCTCCTGCCCCTCTGTGAGTACTGTTCCTCATCCTCCTGCCCCTCCGTGAGTACTGTTCCTCATCCTCCTGCCCCTCTGTGAGTACTGTTCCTCATCCTCCTGCCCCTCCGTGAGTACTGTTCCTCATCCTCCTGCCCCTCTGTGAGTACTGTTATTCATCCTCCTGCCCCTCTGTGAGTACTGTTATTCATCCTCCTGCCCCTCCGTGAGTACTGTTATTCATCCTCCTGCCCCTCCGTGAGTACTGTTCCTCATCCTCCTGCTCCTCCGTGAGTACTGTTATTCATCCTCCTGCCCCTCCGTGAGTACTGTTATTCATCCTCCTGCCCCTCCGTGAGTGAGAACTGTGAGTCCTGTTCCTCATTCAACATTGCCCGCGCCTGCGTTAGTGGCGACTGTTAATCTGATGTTCTTACGTGTTCTTATGTGTTCTTCAGGGAGCGTTTGACCTGAGCCGTCGGTGCTCGTCCAACAAGGGGGGCATCGCCTCCTCCATCAACGCCCTGGGTCTTGGTTAGTGACCCCCCGTCCTGCGTGGTGCGCGGCAGGCTCGGCTCACCGGGATGGGCCGTTCCTCTCGATCTGAAGGCGACACTAGCGAGGCGACACAGTATGGGACGACCTCCACGACAGCTCCTGGTCGTCCACACGCTGCAGTTTCAACCGTTGACGTGTGGTGGTGTTCGTGTGCCATGTTGACTTCGGATTTCTATTTTGGCCTGTTTGAGAGGTCGCTTTAAGAGTCGATCTTAGCTGAGTCTGCCTCACATCTTAGCTGTAGTGTAGATATAGTATTACTGTGTGTGTGTGTGTGTTTGTGTGTGTGTGTGTGTGTGTGTGTGTGTGTGTGTGTGTGTGTGTGTGTGTGTGTGTGTGTGTGTGTGTGTGTGTGCGTGCGTGCAAACTGGTAAATTGTGCGTGTTGTGATATAGCATTTAGGCATTGGAAAGGGCCTCTCCTGCCCCCTGGGATGTGTCGGGATATGGGGTTATGACCTACAACACGGAGAGCAGAAAATGTGTTAAAAAGCAAGTTTAAGGACGTACAAGAAACATTAGGACGCAAGTTTAAGGACGTACAAGAGGAATTAAGACGCTAGTATCAGGACATATAAGGAACATTGAGTCATCAGTGTCAGGACATTTTCAATTGTCGCCTAACTTAGAGGTCAAAGTTGACTAGGACGGTAAATGACACTTGTGTCAAGATCGGACACATGAAGGATTACAAATGAATATAATCAGCTAGACATGGGTAGATGGCAGACAGTAAATCCATAGACAAAAATATATGATAAATGAGAATATTTTCCGATCACAACTACACAAATTTACTGAAGACTCACACTTATTCTTCGATATTCTTCTATTCTATTCTATTCTTCCTAGTAGCTAGATTCTCTCATGGAAATTAACGAGTTACTGAATAAGAGGACACTGGCTTTAACTGCAATGTATCACACATTTAGAAGTTACTTCACCAGTCTGCACAAGCCACACTAAATTCTATGTCTTGGATAATACACACTGCCTTCTTGTAGGCCACTAATACTAACACAATATTAAGTCTTTCCTCCTCAAAAGTACGAGATACTCTGAGTGAACACATAAGCGCTTGATTCTTTTCCCTCCCCCCAAAAAAAGTCACCCCCATAAGCCCTGTCCCAAGAAGACGTGGCCCACCTGTCACGGACTAGCCAATCCCAGTACACTGTTTGACAGAAATTAATGATTGCCCAGCCCAGCGTTTCTTGAAAATTGGTCAACCTTGCAACCAGTGTCCTACGACCACCTTAGTGACCATGGGACCTGGTGCTAGTGAGTTAGTATGATGCTGCTAGTAGCAATGATGCAACGTAAACTATTTACAAGTTAGAGAAGCTATTCGGATGTCATTAGAATTATTAGGATGCCAGAGAGACCATTAGGACGGTAGACAATTATAAATTCTGAGTCCCTATTATGATAGCACAGAAACAACTAGGACATTACACCCGCTAAAGACTTAAAATACCCGTTATTATATTAGAACAAGAAATAGAATTTTGAGGCTAGATATGCTACTAGTATTTAAGAGGTCATTAATCACTCGAGAGAGACTATTAGGATGGAAGAGAGACACCGGTAGAGAAAGAGACTAGTAGAGAGAGACTGGTAGAATGTTAAATTGATTATCGGGACATTTTGAAGATCTCTCAGGATACCGAGACAGGAGTTTTAAGAATAAGATGAAAGTAAAGAAACTATTGAAGTTGTTAAAGAGGGCATTATAGCGTTAGAAGAACTGATCTGGCGTACGAGGAGAGTTCTTGAGACGTTTGTGATGGACCAGTACCGGCCGGAGACGCTTGTGGTGGACCAGTACCGGCCAGAGACGTTTGTGATGGACCAGTACCGGCCAGAGACGTTTGTGATGGACCAGTACCGGCCGGAGACGCTTGTGGTGGACCAGTACCGGCCAGAGACGTTTGTGATGGACCAGTACCGGCCAGAGACGCTTGTGGTGGACCAGTACCAGCCGGAGACGCTTGTGGTGGACCAGTACCGGCCAGAGACGCTTGTGATGGACCAGTACCGGCCAGAGACGCTTGTGGTGGACCAGTACCGGCCAGAGACGCTTGTGGTGGACCAGTACCAGCCAGAGACGCTTGTGGTGGACCAGTACCGGCCAGAGACGCTTGTGGTGGACCAGTACCGGCCAGAGACGCTTGTGGTGGACCAGTACCAGCCAGAGACGCTTGTGGTGGACCAGTACCGGCCAGAGACGCTTGTGGTGGACCAGTACCGGCCAGAGACGCTTGTGGTGGACCAGTACCAGCCAGAGACGCTTGTGGTGGACCAGTACCGGCCAGAGACGCTTGTGGTGGACCAGTACCGGCCAGAGACGCTTGTGGTGGACCAGTACCAGCCAGAGACGCTTGTGGTGGACCAGTACCGGCCAGAGACGCTTGTGGTGGACCAGTACCGGCCAGAGACGCTTGTGGTGGACCAGTACCGGCCAGAGACGCTTGTGGTGGACCAGTACCGGCCGGATTGTCCGGTTTGTCTTCCTTACTTCGCTCGAAGACTGTCCCAGGTGGGCTTCGGGACTCCCCCACGACGACTAAGCAGTTGTGTGAATATCTAATGATTTGCCAGAAGTATCCAGGAACTTCGGCGGGGTTCGAGAGGGTTGTAAATAGTTTGAGAGATTTTAGAGAATTTCAAGATGGCTTCCAGAGAGAGAGGAAGGAATTTCCCGAGTAAAAAAAAGGGCTTTGAGGATGTGTAAGGTGTTTTCAAAAACTTTTAAAAGAGGTTTCCAAGGAACGCTAAGGACTTACCTGGATGTTGATCAGTGTTGCTGGAAGTCCAGAGAGGGTCGAGGGAATTCCAGGAACATTCAGGAGTATCCAGAAGTTGCCAGGTGGACAACGGACGTGACATAGTGGTCACAGTGGTGACTACTGTGTCTTACAAGTCCGTTGACAACCAGCCCCAAATTGGTTGTGCACAACTGACCACTGAGTAGTCGACAACTGCCTCACAACCAACTTGGGGACAGGGTTCGATTCTAAGTATTTGGTCACGTTATATCACGCTCGATAAACATTCACTCATCAATAAATACATACTAGGGAATGTTCGGTCACAGGCCTACAGGAATCTCGATAAATTTAACAGATGTTGTGTCCCCCTGACCAAGTGAAACACTTGAGAGTTATCCCACGATATCCAGACGCATCCTGGGGGGCTCGGCCTATAGCGGGAGGAGGTCACGCATTAGGAAGAGTCACAGGGCATTTGTTATTAAATTGTCAGTAGGACGCCGGAGTTCAGAGTTTGGACAGTGGGTAGGTGGTGATGGAGGCAGGTTGGGTAGGTGGTGATGGAGGCAGGTTGGGTAGGTGGTGATGGAGGCAGGTTGGGTAGGTGGTGATGGAGGCAGGTTGGGTAGGTGGTGATGGAGGCAGGTTGGGTAGGTGGTGATGGAGGCAGGTTGGGTAGGTGGTGATGGAGGCAGGTTGGGTAGGTGGTGATGGAGGCAGGTTGGGTAGGTGGTGATGGAGGCAGGTTGGGTAGGTGGTGATGGAGGCAGGTTGGGTAGGTGGTGATGGAGGCAGGTTGGGTAGGTGGTGATGGAGGCAGGTTGGGTAGGTGGTGATGGAGGCAGGTTGGGTAGGTGGTGATGGAGGCAGGTTGGGTAGGTGGTGATGGAAGGGGGTTAAGGGAAGTGGTGATTATGGGGGTGGTGAGAGTATGAGACCTGAGAGGGGGAGTGGAGATGTAGAGTCTGTAGCTTGAGGTGCAGGATACGAGGACCGTCTTGCTCAGAACTTCAAAAGGAGTGGCACCAAGACTGCTCTGTCGCAAATGTCATGAACAGTGGAATAAATATGTATTGCCGGGGAGTTTTTTGTGTGGTGTGAGTTCACACCATGGATATGTGTTGTGGTGTGAGCTGACACCATGGATATGTGTTGTGGTGTGAGCTGACACCATGGATATGTGTTGTGGTGTGAGCTGACACCATGGATATGTGTTGTGGTGTCAGCTCACACCATGGATATGTGTTGTGGTGTGAGCTGACACCATGGATATGTGTTGTGTTGTGAGCTGACACTATGGATATGTGTTGTGGTGTCAGATCACACCATGGATATGTGTTGTGGTGTGAGATCACACCATGGATATGTGTTGTGGTGTGAGCTGACACCATGGATATGTGTTGTGGTGTCAGCTCACACCATGGATATGTGTTGTGTTGGGAGCTGACACCATGGATATGTGTTGTGGTGTCAGATCACACCATGGAGAGATGTGGTTAAGACAGAAGTGTGACACACCAAGACAATTACTGTATACAGAAATGCATTTATTCTTTTCCTTTTTTTATAATAATTAGTGTAAGGAAATGTTAATATCTTTTATTTATTCCCCTGGAGCTAAGGAGAGAGAGAGAGAGAAAGTCGAGAAATAGATAATATAAATATATGAGAGAGCTGAGATATAATATAATATAATATAATATATATATATATATATATATATATATATATATATATATATATATATATATATATATATATATATATATATATATATATATATATATATATGTTGTACCTAGTAGCCAGAACGCACTTCTCAGCCTACTATGCAAGGCCCGATTTGCCTAATAAACCAATTTTTCATGAAATTATTGTTTTTTGACTACCTAACCTACCTAACCTAACCTAACTTTTTCGGCTACCTAACCTAACCTAACTTATAAAGATAGGTTAGGTTAGGTTAGGTAGGGTTGGTTAGGTTCGGTCATATATCTACGTTAATTTTAACTCCAATAAAAAAAAATGACCTCATACATAATGAAATGGGTAGCTTTATCATTTCATAAGAAAAAAATCAGAGAAAATATATTAATTCAGGAAAATTTGGCTTATAAGGCAAATTGGGCCTTGCATAGTAGGCTGAAAAGTGCGTTCTGGCTACTAGGTACGACATATATATATATATATATATATATATATATATATATATATATATATATATATATATATATATATATATATATATATATATATATATATATATATATATATACATATATACACGTTTATAGTGGCTTTAATAACGCCTCCAACGTTTAACAAGCCTTAAGCCCGACACCAAGCCAAGCCAACGAGACTAAGATGCTATAAAGATCCTTGTAGCCAAGTTGCATCGCAGTAGTGACAACATCGACCAGTCCACACACAGACTTCACTGCATGCCGCCGCCTCACCTGTGATGCTTTCAACAAATGTCACAGTAACAAACAACAGATCTGAACGGTATAGACTATGCTCCCTGTGGTCCGTAAGTTCATCTAGAGCGTCTCTTCACTTTCGACAGTGTTAAAGACTATACGTTTCATGGTTCAAAAGGTAATTTTTGACCCTGTGTCCGCCACGAGCTTGGCGAGGACACTGACGCCATTGTCTTCAACACGACCCCACATGGCTGCCGCTCCACAGCTACTTTGCGAGTTCCTTTATGATGCCTGTGTATGGATCTATGTCTGGCTGCAGAGACAACATGTTACGCCATGTTTAGGAGCTGTTTAGGGTGAGGAAGGGTGAGTACTGAGGGTGGGGGGTGAGAAAGTGAGTGGAACAGAGAAAGGGAGCAGCTGTAAACACAATACATGTATATTTGGTGAAGTAATTAGAGACTCTGGGCGTGCTGGGGGAATAATTAGTGTACAAACAGGAGAAACGCGTTAGATTGAGAGAGAGAGAGAGAGAGAGAGAGAGAGAGAGAGAGAGAGAGAGAGAGAGAGAGAGAGAGAGAGAGAGAGAGAGAGAGAGAGAGAGAGAGAGAACCAGAGAGAGAAAGGGAGAGCCAGAGAGAGAGAGAGAGAGAGAGAGAGCCAGAGAGAGAGAGCCAGAGAGCCAGAGAGAGAGAGAGAGAGCCAGAGAGAGAGAGAGACAGAGAGAGAGAGAGAGAGAGAGAGCCAGAGAGGCAGAGAGAGAGTAGGCATGACGGGGTACACATTAGTGTGAGTGCCACACACTGGACATATATCAGGGACATTAGCGCCAAGCCGAGAACGCTGCTGTTGGTGTCCCTCCCTCACAATGTTGACACTCTCGCAGCAATAATTTGACCGTCCGTGTACAAAGTAGCTGTGGAACGGAGTGATCTCTCAAATGTTTTCTCTAAAAGTTGGGTCAAAAACAATAGACATGTATAGCTCTGTATTAATTGCTACCTATCTTGGCTCACTCTTGAAAGTTAAGATCAGCAGAGCTGGCGGTCGCATGGACGGTACTAAAGCCAATATGGTTTCTTTTTTGTACATACTGATGATCTAGTTTAATTAGCATAAAGCAATGATGTGGTGGAAAATTGTATGGAAAATCACACAGGCATATTATACCCTCAGAAGGTTCATTCGTATTCTTTTTTTTTAGGATACTAAAGTGAAAACTAATGTCTACTTGATTCCTGATTTAAAGTAGAGTTATTTAACAGTCAGCTTGAGTGGATGTAAACTTTGGGACCTGCAAAATGTTAGGCTATGCAGGTAAATTGTGAATGTTGGAAATGTTCAGCCGCTCCTATTGCAGTCTTCTGCTTAGTCTCAAGACTTTCACTTGAATAAATAATTTACAAACGGACGATATATTTTTCCTGAAAGAAAACACTTATGCAGCAAGCCTCACAAGTTATTTTCTTTTAGGCGTTACTGAACACCCAAACTTTGCCAGACACATTAACATGATTAAACACCTTAAAAGTGAGTGTTGCATTTGTGTATTTATTTATAATACACCGGTAGTGTATTACCGGTGTAGCCGGCCCACAGGGTCGACCAGAACTACAAGTCCTCAGGGTCGACCAGAACTACAAGTCCACAGGGTCGACCAGAACTACAAGTCCACAGGGTCGACCAGAACTACAAGTGCTCAGGGTCGACCAGAACTACAAGTGCTCAGGGTCGACCAGAACTACAAGTCCACAGGGTCGACCAGAACTACAAGTCCACAGGGTCGACCAGAACTACAAGTGCTCAGGGTCGACCAGAACTACAAGTCCACAGGGTCGACCAGAACTACAAGTCCTCAGGGTCGACCAGAACTACAAGTCCTCAGGGTCGACCAGAACTACATGTCCACAGGGTCGACCAGAACTACAAGTCCACAGGGTCGACCAGAACTACATGTCCACAGGGTCGACCAGAACTACAAGTCCACAGGGTCGACCAGAACTACAAGTCCACAGGGTCGACCAGAACTACAAGTCCACAGGGTCGACCAGAACTACAAGTCCTCAGGGTCGACCAGAACTACATGTCCACAGGGTCGACCAGAACTACAAGTCCACAGGGTCGACCAGAGCTACAAGTCCACAGGGTCGACCAGAACTACAAGTCCACAGGGTCGACCAGAACTACAAGTCCACAGGGTCGACCAGAACTACAAGTCCACAGGGTCGACCAGAACTACAAGTCCTCAGGGTCGACCAGAACTACAAGTGCTCAGGGTCGACCAGAACTACAAGTGCTCAGGGTCGACCAGAACTACAAGTGCTCAGGGTCGACCAGAACTACAAGTCCACAGGGTCGACCAGAACTACAAGTCCACAGGGTCGACCAGAACTACAAGTGCTCAGGGTCGACCAGAACTACAAGTCCACAGGGTCGACCAGAACTACAAGTCCTCAGGGTCGACCAGAACTACATGTCCACAGGGTCGACCAGAACTACAAGTCCACAGGGTCGACCAGAACTACAAGTCCTCAGGGTCGACCAGAGCTACAAGTCCACAGGGTCGACCAGAACTACAAGTCCACAGGGTCGACCAGAGCTACAAGTCCACAGGGTCGACCAGAACTACAAGTCCACAGGGTCGACCAGAACTACAAGTCCACAGGGTCGACCAGAACTACAAGTCCTCAGGGTCGACCAGAACTACAAGTCCTCAGGGTCGACCACAACTACAAGTCCTCAGGGTCGACCACAACTACATGTCCACAGGGTCGACCAGAACTACAAGTCCTCAGGGTCGACCAGAACTACAAGTGCTCAGGGTCGACCAGAACTACAAGTCCTCAGGGTCGACCAGAACTACAAGTCCACAGGGTCGACCAGAACTACAAGTCCTCAGGGTCGACCAGAACTACAAGTCCTCAGGGTCGACCAGAACTACAAGTCCACAGGGTCGACCAGAACTACAAGTCCTCAGGGTCGACCAGAACTACATGTCCACAGGGTCGACCAGAGCTACAAGTGCTCAGGGTCGACCAGAACTACAAGTCCTCAGGGTCGACCAGAACTACATGTCCACAGGGTCGACCAGAACTACAAGTCCACAGGGTCGACCAGAACTACAAGTCCACAGGGTCGACCAGAACTACAAGTCCACAGGGTCGACCAGAACTACAAGTCCACAGGGTCGACCAGAACTACATGTCCACAGGGTCGACCAGAACTACAAGTCCACAGGGTCGACCAGAACTACAAGTCCTCAGGGGAAGTAGGGATATTAACAACTGGATTCTGAATATTAAGGAATTACTACCACAGAGAGACAGTTCATAAGTAATGTCAATTCTTCACACACCAGACAGACCTCTTTCACGTGAGCTGTGTGGTCAAAGGTTGATCCGCCGGAGTCCGTGGACCCGTTGAAATAATATATATTACTCAGACGTTGTGAAAATGTCTATAGGAATTCATTTTATAAATAAATTTCAAATTTAAATTTGTGTCTTATTAATTCTCCTTTTATGTCAATATTCAGCTCTCAAATTTTCACCAATATGTTCTTCAACTCACGTTTTCAATTCAAAACTTCAGAAACAGATGTATCCCCAACCCACAAACCAGCTCCTCATCTCGACTTGTCACAAAACAAAAGACGTACTAAACAGCCCTAACCTAACCTAACCTAACCGAGAATCCAAGAACAGAAAACGTAACAACATGGCAAATTTGCGAGCCACTATGATTTTTACAAGGATTTATTTGGCGTCAAAATTCGGTGTGTGCGTGTTATGCGAGAGGACAGGTAGAAGAAGAGACAGGACAGGACAGGTAGAAGGCGCCAACCGCCATAGTTATGTTGATCACAGCAACACCTAGCGGGCCAGGCCAGAGGCCAGATTCATGAAGCAGTTACGCAAGAACTTACGAACGTGTACATCTTTCCTCAATCTTTGACGGCTTTGGTTACATTTATTAAACAGTTTACAAGCATGAAAACTTGCCAATCAACTGTTGTTATTGTTATAAACAGCCTCCTGGTGCTTCGGAGCTCATTAACTGTTAAATAATTGTAAACAAAGTCGCCAAAGATTGAGAAAAGATGGACAGGTTCGTAAGTACTGGCGTAACTGCTTCGTGAATCTGGCCCTTCAGAGGCTCAGGGACCCGCGT